TCTCTTATATTGCTAGACAATTGTATGACAGTTTTAAAAACTGTTACATAGACTTACTTTCTGATCAATTTTGAATGGAAATACTTTAAAAAAGTTTGTGGAAAACTTAGAAAGAATTGAAAAAAGTACTGGACGAGCAGATACCCTGTAGAAAGCTTGTTCAGACTAGCTCGAGAATTCTTTAGACTATACGAACTGATTGTCATTAAAAGTGTTATATACATTAACTCTTATGCGAGCAACATGGCTGGAAGATACTCTATTCGTGAGGAAGCACAAAAGGTACTCAAGGGCTGGAAGAGTGCATTGGACTCTAAATATGTAGAAGAATTTAAAGTGTTATACGTGCAGACAACCTTTATATACTTATAATGAACAGCTACAGAAACTCTATGTTTAGTCAGTATTAATTGTTGAGCTTATGCCTAGTTTTGATTACAGGGTATCTCATTGCTGTCAGTCAACATGGCAATTAGCTGAGGTGTCGGCCATGAAAGATATATACGTAATATATATGCGAAAGTCTTGCCAGATAATTGCTAGAAATACACACAGTCAGAGAGAGAGGGGGGGGGGGGGGGGAGAGCGAGAGAGGAAGAGAGAAAGTTTTCGAACTTAGTTTTTGACAGAGCAGGATTTTCTGACAAGACGTGTGCATGTGTATGTGTGTGTGTGTGTGTGTGTGTGAGTGTGGCAAGCTGTTGGCTTTGCCACAGTTGAAATGGCAGACCCGAAATTGCTGCCATGCTAAATAATGTAGTGCAATTCAATTAAAATGCAAATACCGCAAGAGGTGGGGCTGGTGGGGCTGGCCGGGCTGGTCGGCAGCTGGAGCTGCGTCACTTGAGCCATAAATGGCGCAAAGTTTTAACCACTTGATTGAGCTGCAAATTTGATGTGGCATGCGGCCGCATGTTGGCCCCATATAAAGAAGCTGCTGCTGTTGCTGCCGCTGACATGCGTGGCAAAGTTGGCAATAAAATGCTCTCTGTGTGTGTGTGTGTGTGTGGCAGCAACTATGATCTAATTAAGGTTCGCGTTTACCGCAACATGTAGCAGACGGCATGTAGCATCTAGCTTGTAGCATGTCGACTGTAGCTTATGCCATGTTATGCGCCGTCGTCTGCTGCTGGCTCTTGTCTGCTGCTCTAAAAGCAATGCGCACAGCTGCTGCCCACGTGCCTAGGGCGCCCACACAGCACACACATACACACATACACAGAGAGAGAGAGAGAGAGGGCAAGACAGTCATAAAACAGCAGCAGCAGGAGGAGTAGTTACTGTTGCCGGAAACGGAAACGCTCATGAAGCTAGACTCGGGGCTTGACGCTCTTGGTCGTCTGCCTAATTCAAATTTGAATAACTCGCAATGTGCGCCGCTAAGTAGGCTATGAATTTTGGCCACTGCTGGCGCGGCTGCTGCTGTTACTCCTGCTACTCCTGCTGCTCCTGCTGCTGTTGCTCATCTTGTTGTTTTCGTTGTTGTCCATTTTGCGGCTGTGCTGCACGCTCCTTGTTGCTAATGCCCTATGTGCCACGCACACTTACGCAAAAAGTAAAGGTTTATTTTAAGCCAATTTAGCGGCAGAAAGATTATTTCAGCAGCTGATAGACAGATAGATACCACTTAACGAGGTCACTGCTATGGTTATGTGGAGAAATGGCTTTAGTAGTAGCAGTTGTAGTCTTAACAATAGTATGAATAGGGGAAGTATAAGTAGTAGAGTCGGAACAATATTTAGTAGTAGTAGTAGTAGTAGAATTGGTAGTTGTATATAGTAGTAAAAATGGTAGTAGTATGAGCTAATAATAGTAGAAGTATGTTGTAGTAGAAATCGTAGCTGTATGTAGTAGTAGAAATAGTAGTTGTATGTAGTAGTAGGAATAGTGGTATGTTGTAGTAGAAATAGTAGCTGTATGTAGTGGCAAAAAGAGTACAAATAGTAGTAGTAATAGTAGTATTGTGTTTTAGTAGAAATAGTAGTAGTAGTATGTATTTGTAGAAATAGCAGTAGTATGTAATTTTCGTTATAGTGGTAGTATGTAATGGAAGAAATACCAGTTTAATGTTGTTGTAATAGTAGTAATAATAATAAAAAGTAGTAGAAATGGTAGTCGTGGTAGTAGAAATAGTAGTCACAGTGATATGTATTGTCGTATCAGTAATAGTAATAATAACAAAACGTAGTAGAAATAGTAGTCATAGCAGTAATAGTAGTATGTAGTAGTTTTAGTAGTAATAATAATAGGAGGTCTAGTAATAGTAGTAGCTTTAACGAATATTAGTAGAAATCGTATTCATTGTAGTACAGCAAGTAAACTGTAGTAGAAATGTTCACAGAAAATCCATATTTCATTATAAAAATACATATCAAATTGATCAGCCTGAAAAGGGGAAATTAAAATGCCCCTATTAAGCATGGTTTATTCTTACAGGGTATATAAATGCCATCATCATATCATATCATATCAGATATAATTTATATATTTGCAATTCGCTCTCCATCGTCGATCATACCTTTGCTCTTTTCCCTTTACAGGGTATTTTATGAACTGCTCGATGCTCAGCTCGCTAGCCGAGTTGTGTAACCGATTCCGGTCAGATTTCTGCGTCACGTTGCATAAAAGGAAGGAGCGGGGGCAAATGGATAGGCGGGTGCACAAGACTCTCCCTCTGCTCCAGCCCCCATCCCCGTTATCTCTTTTTTTTTGTTTTTTGTTTTTTTGATTATGCCACACAAATTATTTGTTCCGTTTCGTTTTTTTTTTTTTTTTTTTTTTTTTTTTTAAGACCAGTTAAGCCACAGGCAAAGGCGTTGCCGTCATGACCATTTTAGGCAAATTGGATTTACGTAGCACTCGTTGCACATACGAAACCGTCTCTGTCTCTGCTCTCTCTCTCTCTCTCTCTCTATGTTTGACTGCGCCTTATATAATATAACGCGCCTCGCTTAGCTGTCAGAAACATAAATTTTCGTTTGATTTTCTTTAGGATTTCATTGAGCTGCCCGCGGCAGTGGCTAAGAGATTGCAGCTGCAGTTTACCTTGCGAAGGGTAGAGTGAATAGATGGTGGAGCAGAGGGGGAGGGCGAAAGACAGTTAAACAGAGAGGGATGGATTGAGAGATTCTTAAAGTCGATTGTATTTCGTTTCGGCTGTAATTCGATATGATCCATTTTCAATATGTGACAAAAATCAAACTCGTTGAACTCGAGGGCAATCGAACGATGTGGAGAGGGGGAGGAGTAGGAAATGTGCAGAAGGCGGTCTTTCATCATCTATAGCCATTCTGTTGATGGCTTGAGTATGCCGGCCTACAAATCTCTGGGCCGGCATTTCATTTGCCATTTGTTTGGCTGTCTATCAGCTTTGACACTTTTACGCCACAATTCGCCAGCGCCGTGGAGCCCGCCTCCAGCCACTTGTCTCGGAAGACGACAGAGCATTAAACCAATTGGCCATTACCCCATGCTCCGTTGCCCCGAGACCCGAGACCCGAGACCCGAGACCGAGGCAGCTTGGCCAGGACTGGGCTTAAGGGTCGTCTATCAATCATATGTCAGCAGCAAAAAGAAAGAAAGAAAAAAATAAAAAATAAGAATAAATAACTGTGATGGGCCGATGACGATGACAATGTGCGCCACTTGCGCCCACATACCCAGCGAAAGTTATCGCCCACCAAAAAGTTATCGAGCCCTCTAATGTGTGTGCGGCCCCTATCGATGGCCCGGTCGCAATTTGCATTTGACGTCAGCTCTTAATGCGTTTTGGCGGTTACCCATGCTAAAATCACAGCAGCAAAAAAACAGGCCACAAATTGAATCTCTAAAGTGCGTGCCCCAAAGCAACGCACGAGTGTGTGTGTGTATGTGTGTGAGTGAGGGGGTGTATGTGTGCGTGGGTGCATATAATGTTCAACAAAAACAATTTTTATGCAAAGCCTGGGAATTATATTTAGCTCAACTCGGAGCTGCTATTGATACCCTAACATTTTACACAACACAGCAGAGAGAAGCAATCAAAAGTGTGATTAGCTCTGTGGGAGTGAGAAGCCTTTACCGCAGCAGGGGATAGCAATCAGTTCTGTATGTGATAAGTTCTATCTGAACTCAACTCGAACAAATCTCGGCTATTATTTTATTAAACTTCTTAGTTGGCTTCTCGCTTTAGTTATACTTTTCTGAACCACACCAGAAAGAAGCAACCAACAGAGTGATAAGTTCTATGTGAGCGAAAGAACTTTACTTTAACATTTTTTTTAACTTCTTCGTTAGCTTCTCGCTTCAGTTATTCATTTAGAACATAAGAAGGGAGAAGCAAACAACAGAGCGATAAGTTCTTTGTAAACTGCATATGGTTGATAAAACGTGACACTTAGCTTCTCGCTTAGGCTTTTAAGATCTTGTTTTACATTCTATTCTGCTTAACTTATCTATTCTTTTTTTCATTACCCACTTCTCACTGCTTTTATTTTCCTTCGCTTTTTCATACGAGCTTCTCTCACTGCAGCGTTTGCTTCTCACTTTGTCAGTGATTTCTCGCCCATTTTCTTGCTTTCCTGATCTTGGGCCAAGTCTCATGCTTGCTCTACTTTGAACTTGTTGTATTGCTTCTCTTCTGTCTTCTGCTACAAATTGTAGCAGGCTTTGCTCTTCTTCTTATAGCACTTTAATCACATCGCAATCAATATCCCATTGCTTCAACTGTCATGGCTTCAGGTCTAGGCATATGCCGCTCGCCTGAACAGAGCTCAGTTTCATTTTAGGTCTCGTTTCGTTCGTATTCAAAAACACAAAATTTATTTATTTAT